TTAGCCGAAGAATAAAATTCTGCCGGTTTTGCCGGTTTTTCAGCGCGTTGATCGTCGGTCAACGTGATGAATGGCTATTTTAGTAGTACATATGTACAAATGAACTTTCCTTTCCCCCTTCGCAACATACCCCCTGTTCAAACATCTAGAGCACATCTGAAACACCAAACATTGTCGTTTCGCTCATGATAGTGTCCCAAAGACCAGGCCACATTTCCGACGCTGTTTTAGCCTGAAGTGGAGGAACTAATCTACCTGTTTCATGAATCACTCGTAGTTTTGTAAGCTTTTGTCGTGCAAGGGATCGAACCGCAGATTCAGCTGAATTAAACGTGAAACCATATCCGGCATGTTCCAGAGCAATCTCAACGTGTGACAAGGTAAGATGGGATGGAATATTTGGTAGGGTCAGCAATAACGAGTGCCTGGTTTTGAATCAACTGTGAAAATCTTCCAATAGAGTCGATCCGGAATGGGGGCTCACGTTCGCCGTAAAACATTCCTCCACATCAAAAGTTTCGTCCTTTCCTTCATAATAGTGTAGAGTCCTCGTGATCTCCACCATTCTTTATGTTGGTCCACTTCTTCGAGGAATCCAGAATAATCTCCCACTCTCCAGCAGTCTATCAATCGTTCCGTAAAGAAATCCAAAAGACTATACTTTTGTACTAGTTCCCGTGGAGGTGGTCTTCCCAATACAAGACGTACGACAGAGAGGTACGTCAAGATTCGACGCTTATTAGAAAAGTTCGAGTGTGTGCAATGGGAAAACGCGAATGCGAAGTTGGGTTCAGCCTATAAGACTTAAGTAAATAAGACACACGTTCACGTTCATTTTCGGCAAGGATGAGGACTCACCGCCATAAACTGGTGCTCCATCGTCCGATAGACGCCCACCAAAAAGCGATAGGAGACGAGGTCGGCTTTCAATGGTCGCACAGAAGAAAGATCATTCCACGGCTGGTTGTTTAATTTCATGAAATAGTAGTCGTAATTGGAGTGTGATCCAGTCTTCGAGTTTTCGGTAATGAGGGCTCCTTTCTACGATCTCAGTAGGTGGAATCTCACTTTGCTTATTTGCTTAAACGCCATGACAGTGCTCCATAGTAGAAGGCGTCGCTTCAAGGAGAACGAAGATTCTCTGAAAAGGTCACTGTTACTACCCAATGACATAGAACGAATTTCTGGAGAACTAACCTGTCTGCCACTTTGTCAAATGTCGATCGCAACGCCTGGTCAAGCTTGCCTATCATGCGAGGCTTCAAAGCTTGTTGTCGGAGGGCGCTGTCAGCCTACAGAGTTTATGTTGCTTTAAGTCGAAACTTGATGTGAGAGCTAATACCCACCTCGTTCGCAGCAGCAATAATCAGCCTTAAACAACTTTTCACAACGTTCACGGCGGCTTCTTCTCCAGCTAGGGCTACCACAAGAGCTTCTTGCCGGATGATGTCAACGGCCTCGAAAATCGCCTGTGGTTCCATTATGTCCGTGAAAAGCGTATGATGTAGATACATGGAACAAAGTCGAGCTACGTTTGGTGGGCATTGAGATGATTCCAGAAGACTTTGAAGACTTTGGAACTAGATTGAGACTGCAGTAAGGTTGGTGTCTTTCATGCCGCGAAGGAGAGCATCACGAGGAGAACAACATACTTGAGCGTCATCCCTCTCAAAGCTGGGAGATGCCTTTTGGGTGTATCCGTCCCACTGCAGTTTGAGTGCCTGGAGACCGCTGGATCTATGATCGTTCGATTCATGGCGATTTCCGACGGCTCACCTTCGAAATCGCTGGCATCATTGGACTTGCGCGCAAATCGATTAATTTCGTGGGGCTTGGATTCAGCAGATCTCCGAGTGCTGTCTCAGACGCACTCAAAGCATCCTTCACTGCCATTGAAAACTGTCGGACTGAAGTAAACTCCCGTCTCGCATCTTTCTGAGTATCGATGGTCCCAAATCCACCTGTCGTTGCACCAGGCCGAATGCCTTGCATGCTCAGGAAAAATCTTGTGTAGGGCCTTGGGCTCACAAGCACCAATTTTACACATAAAATTGTCCACACTTTATTTGCTCTTGAATTCCACCTGACTACCATTTAGAAGTCTCCATCCATTCCATCGTCTGCGTCCATCTCACCATCTTCTATCTCCTTCACAAGTTTCCGCTCTTCTTTCGCCATCTCCTCCAATTTGCCCAACTCTTTCCTATAAGTATCTCCCGGGAAGCGCATTGCCTTCACAGCTTCATTGTGCAGGGCAAGGCAAAAGGCAATTCGGTTGTCAAACGCTGATTGTGGCTCGTTGGTGGAATACAAATCCACTGATTCCCGGGATTTCATGAATCCTTTCTCGTGGTCTAGTGTCGCATCTATGACACCGTCCCTGATCGCCTATTGAGATATATGTGTGAAGATCAAGCGCAACGACATTCGAAGTCACTCGTCCACAAACCTTCGCAACAATGTATTCGGCGTCTTCCTCGCTGTCCAACTGGAGCTTCAGGCAAATGTCTTTGAGAGAAATCCTCGAGTACGACAGACTGATCATGCGAATACCGGTTTTTATTACATTGTGCCGCACACTAAACGAAAGGGCCCATCAACGTTTCTGTACATCTACACAAGAGTATCCAAAGCTCATCAAACACTCACCGCAATATTAGCGTAAAGGTCCGATCAGCCTTGAATACCTTCCCGTACTTCTGAAGGGTTTCGTTAAACTTTCCGAGGTCTCCAATGCGTACCGCTGTGGGTCGAAGAGACGAATAAAAAGGGCAAGTTAAATCATATTGTGGTAGCGAAATGACTTGTTCGAAACACTCGCCTTGTGCCACTTGAAGGTAAGGCGCAAGGCTCCTTCTCAGTAAGTCACCGCCAAATGCACTTCTCTCAGGTATCTCTCCCATCAATAACTGCACACATACAAGGAGCTTGCTCGCAGCCTGCAAAAAGCCTGCCGTGCTGGGCCCTGTGGGACCTTTCCGGATTGCCTGCTGAAGGTGCGATTTTGCGGAGGTGTAATCGAGGTTGATCGCCCGAACCCGACCGAGATAGTACATGTAACGGGCAATCTAGCGCAACAGAAGGTAAATATTCCACGAGATGTGCTTATCAGCTCCGTTCAGTTACCTGATTATTGCTGGCTGTTTCTGGAAACGTCGTCTTGGACACTAGCTTTTCCGCTTGATCGTACAAGTTGTAGTGCAAAAAGTTACGAAGAAGAAGATTCACAAGCGTCGCCTGGTGGAAAGCACGTTATATTTCCAGACGTTAAATTCGGAGAAAATGAATGTCAAACGCTGACCTGGCAATCATCGTCCCTTCGGAGAGTTGCTGTTCGCTGTGCCGCTAAAAGTGTTCTGAACAGAAACTCCAGTTACCGCTGCTCAACACAATTCTGCGCAACATGGAAGCTCACGGGCGCACATCTGCTAACTTGTCTTTGAGTTCATGGAACCTTGCATAGTAAAAGTATATCCTGGCGGAAATCTGATCCAACGTGCGCCGATTGAAGTGGGAAACCCTATCAACATAGTCTTTTGTGAGATTCAGTCCCTATTTCGAAGAGCACAGATAAGCAGAAGGTTTTTCAGCGACAATGTAGAGGAGCTCGCCTTGTCGTAGGACTTGTGATCGTGAAGAAAAAGGGCGACGAGTAGCGCCAAGTACACTTCCGCCTCAGGTAAAGCCTGCTTTGGTGACTCCTTTCCCTCTTTGGACACGACGCCGTCCACACTAGGGCTGGTTCCATTGATTGTGTCAATCTCCATTGTAGAGGGAACACTTTTGGATGGCTATAGGGAAATTCGTTTGCGTTAAAAGGGAACGAGCCGAGCACATTAGGAGTGATCTTACAGGAGGAAGATATGCAAGGAGCGACGATAGCGCCTGGGCATCTGAAGATTGGGATGTTAATGTTGAGCCCGATGGTGTCAAAGCGAAGCTTCTTTTCATTACCAGCAGGATCTTTCAGATTAGATTCAAGGGCAGCCCGAAGGATGTCTCCAGTGAGCTTCCTGCGGAAGTTCGCGGTGTTGCGAAGGACACGTGTGGTGAAGCGTGTCTCCACAGTCGATACGGCTTTTTCCAACAATAAGACATTCTGCTTGATGTCTGGAGGGTTTGACAGTCACATTTACGTCGGATGCCGACCAATTATGCCATGTTTCAATATTTGGGTTGACCGATTCCCAATTCATGGGAAGCAGACCACATAACATTGATTCCAGAGAATGAAACGGCACGATTTGACTAATGTCAACGATTTATCATACCGCTATTAGTCCCAGCCGTCACCCACCAGCGACTACCAAAGACGCCGCCTCCGCTTCCTTCTCTGCCTCTGTCTTTTCTGGCTTCACATCCTCTGCAGACTTCATATCAACATCTGTATCATCGACTTTCTTGGAAGGCTCCTTCGCTGGGACTGGTGTTGATTTCATGGGGTTAGCTGCCACCATCGGAAATGCAACTTTCTGTGGTTGCGCTACCCGTCAGTGGGCAACTGCATTTCGACACCCGAATAACTAAGTAAGAATGAAATTCGGGACGGCAGAAACATGAAGTGTATGTTTTGGTAGATTTAGAAATGAAAAATGAAGAATTCGATTTCCGTAGTGAGCGACGTGTTAACGAAGACTCAGGTTGGCACAATTTTCCAGCCCATTTATTTAAACTATGTAGCTCCGTACTTCTGAAATTTTCCAAGCTGTCACTTTTAAGTAAGAGGGTGCCGGTACAGTGTGACGTGTGTGATGGAGAGCCAAGAAGTGAGAAACCGATACCATTTGCTACACTCACAAAGTGTGAAGCGAGCTTGGCAACGAAAAGAAATGGTTGAAAGCCCCGCTGGGGCGAGCCACTCAACAGCAGTACATTGTACAAACCGGCAGCTTCACAATTCACATCACTCTGCTCGGCGACGACCGGCTACCAAACAAGGAATGTTAACAACACGACGATGCATGGCGTCCAGGTGCAAAAATGTTTGAGAGCAAAAGATTCGCTCCCGGCTAGGTTTGAACTAGCGACCTTGTGGTTAACAGCCACACGCGCTGCCTATTGCGCCACGGAAGCATGTGACGGAAAATTTGTGAGTTTTACAACTATAGCTTATAGTAAAATGTGAGAACCTATTCGACCAAAAAACATTGCTTCGGAAATCAAATGGGCCTTCAAACGTTTGTAGGTTACTTCCTAGCCCCAACATCCATGTTAACTGTTGAACTGAGGGAATTTCTTGTTCGGGGAGGGACGAGCTGTCTCCTCTTCCTCCACTTCGGGCCAGATCAAATTTCAGAGGAGGGTGGCTCTCCGATGGAACTACCACACACCGTTTGCAACCTGTGGGGCGATGAGAAATTCAAATTAAGTATTATTGGCCACGGCCACTGCAAACCTTGAAGATCAGCGTTCGTCAGTTTCATTTCAACGACATCACACAAGCAAAAGACTTACTATTTATCGGGGCGTTCTCCGAAGTTGGTGGTGATGTCGTGGGGACGGCATCTTCATTTTCGTTCTGGCACGAAGCTCAGATTCCTTCTCTAAAGGTAAACATTGGTATGAGAGCAGGTAACGCTTCGCAATAGATCATGAGTTTGAAAGCTCCGTTGTTATCGCGAATTTTCTTTCATGTATTTGGATGCGTGGACGGAGTGGCCAACAAGTTTTGTTCGAGACCGCGGAAATTTTCAGGTTTTTGGTCGTTTCGCCCCAGTTGCTTTCACGTTTGCGCTCCGCAAGAAGTGGTACTGTTTTATGTTGAATTTGAATTCGATGTTCAATTCTGTTCACAGGAAGAGATCCCAAGACCCAATGTGTGAAGGCTAAACCGTCACTCTCTTTTCTTTACACGGACGCCCTTCTGTCGTGCAAAGAGTATTGTGCAGGTCACATGAACCCAAGCACTTGTACAGCTTGACGTCATTGTCATCTCTTGCTGAATCCGCAATCATCATGAGATTTTACGTTACTGTAGCGGCTTACGATTACGTCGCATCCGCCCCCAGCAAATCTACGAGAAATGGCGCCCTTCGAGCTCTCACCCTTGGAGCATGCCTGCGGGTCTCCGACGGGTTCACACATGAAGCATCATCTTCGAGCTTATTTATAACCGTCGACAGCTCTTGTAATCATCATAATCTTATGGCATATGAGCGCCGTCGGCTATCAAACCATCCTGGATCGGCAGAGTGTTAGCTATGTCACAAGAAACTTCATCTCGCCATGGTTTGTTTGTGACCTCCGTAAAGCTGTCGTTGTGCCAACACAACTATAATGGAGCACTTCGACAGGTTTCTCTGCACAGACCGTTCAGCAGAGGTATGTGTCTACCCCGCACCATCAGGATTTCGACCAAGAACAGGGTTTGAGTCTACTCACATCTGCTTTTCGCGAGCCGCTTTTCCAACTTTATGCGTAGCTCTCTCTTCCCTAGAGGAGTATTCGTCGCAGTCGTCACTATGGTGGCTAGTTTTGCCGCAAAGTCAGCAAGTCTTGTCGTCTGCATCCAGCTTGCGTCTGGAACCGCGGGAGGAGGCGGCCTTCCATAACTCATCTGGTGTCGCCCGTCCCTTTGGGGCCGTTTGCCTTCTTCCTCTTCACCGTCAGAAGGAAACGGCTTTCGAGCACGCTTCAAAGCTTTGCCCAAGTTGTTGCACAAAAAGGAAGGGATGTGTCCAACATGGACTAATAAATGCAAAAGAACGCTCCCGGCTAGGTTTGAACTAGCGACCTTGTGGTTAACAGCCACACGCGCTGCCTATTGCGCCACGGAAGCATGAGCTGGAAATATTAAAAAAATATTAAAATATAAAATTCATAATAAAAGTCAGAATGAAAAGACGTTGATAATTTTGATTGGGAATCTATGCCGAGTCAAAACGGCCATCCATTATTTAACAATTATCGGGGGGTAAAACATTTTGCATTTCTCTTCTCTTCTTTCACATTTTGGGTGAAAACCATGAAAGATAATGTTTGGGGAAAAGTCATAAAATGACAAATGTTTCATCTAGTGATTGACATGCCTCCCATCCTGTGGCACCACCTGGTGATGCAAAGATGGCAGGCACAGACAGATGAACAGGAGTACAGCTGCGTTGTTTGGATTGCTGTGCTGCCTTGCCATGCATGCGTTTTCCATCAACAGGCCTGAGTGCCTTGCTTGTTGTTGAGAAGAGCTTCCAGGTTTCTGCATCAAGCAATCTTTGGACCAAAACAGTTGCATACAAAGGAATCAAAGAGGGCCATTCAGGCTGTTAATCAAGTTTTGGCACGTGGTGAAGGCTTGGTGTTTCTCTGTTGGATCTACTTAATGATGATTGGCAATGAATGGCAGCAGTCTCCCAGGTGGATGCACACACATGCATGGAACTAACAATAAGGCATCTAATGAAGCATGCTGCTTGAAGCACAGGCATATGGTGGAAGCATTGCATGAGATTTAAACAGGGTGTCACAAGTAACTTCAATTAACCTTGGAATCCAACAACAAAGCATCAATTCTAAAGGCTAGGTCCAAAATTGCCTGCAACATATACAGATTTCTAGTGGTGATATGAATCCTGGAATAGTCAGTATAGTTGCACAAATATGGGAGATGTTGACAGATCATGTCCCACATCCACCCAACCCCCTTGTGCTTCCCCCATTTCACTCCAACCCCATCATGCAGGTCGTAGGGGTGTAGGTTGCTTGGATGTGTGTCTTAATTTTGCAGGTAAAACACTGAACGGTGGTGATCAGGTTGTGACCAGCTTGAATCCATTTTCAAACATTTGTGATCCAATATTTTCTTTTCCTTTTAAGGACAGTGTGCCAAGCCATTGGCAGCAATATTTATACTCATGCAACAAAGACAGATATCACCAATGTGTTCCATCATATGGCACATCAAGAAAAGGACTTTCCTTAACTGCGCATTGATACACTGGGTGTAACACTGACATCCACTAGCGTGGAGTATATAGAGTAGTATGAGTGTTGGGTATTAGCTGCTGTGCCACTTCTGTGGCCGCGGGTTTAGATGTGCACACCTGCAGGACATGCCCTAACTTTGGCATCACGTTCCTGCAGGTGAGTTCCATGCACACTACAACTTTCAATGTATATTTGATCACACATACACGTTCCTGCAGATTACAGGCTCATGCAGCTTACCTAGGTTGTGTAGCATTATGCCAAACTTCCTTCCCTGTTTTTAGCTGACTGCAAGGTTCAGAAGCTATACTGGGACGTGATTTTCAGCAGACACGCGCCCCATGACAATATCTATTTAGGCAACGCGCTGCTTTTTGAATTGAATTACTGAGTGAGCAGATATCATTGCCAGCGTAATTTTAATTATGGGGTTGACGTTGCAGAACAAAGCGCGATATCAAAGTTTTAGCAATGTCTCTCTATGCACATTATAAGTGATGTTGCATTCTCAAAGTTTCGATTGATTTGGACTGCTTCTCGTGGCGTTATTCTCGCAATTTCAGAAAAATTGGTACTCTCAGTATTCAGCTTATTGCAAGATGCAGATGCTACACTGGATTCAAATTTTGCGCACACATACTTCATTACTATATCTATCAGAGACGTACATTATTGTTGCATTTTAATACTTCAGTGAGCCACAATCTTGATTGACAAGGTTTCAATCTCGGGAGTGGTGACACAGATCAAAGTGCAATAACGCAGCATTCTCAATGCACGCTATGCTCAATTTATATATTATTGCATCTTCAAAGTTCCGTTTGAATTGGACTACTCCTTGTTGAGTTACTTACAACTTTGTGTGCAACTCACATCAGCTCATTTATCAGCAGCCTCTGCTGTCACAAAATCTTTACAAATGGACTCAACCAGCAATTCACATACTCAGGCTATATCTGTTGATCATATTCGCTTGACAAATGCAGCTGTAGATGACATTTCAGTCCTCTTTGTCTGCACATTCATTCACCAGCACCCTACCTATCCTTCTTAATTTTCCAACAGCAACTTTATACTTTTCATGATGCTGTTGCTATGTTCAAATGGATCTTCAGACTATATTAGTAACCCTGAGGAGATGGTACCACTTTGCACTCTCAGGTCTAGTAACTTGAGAACTAGGACCAAGAACTCTGCCAGGAGCTTGCAGCTGTTGCTAGATTGGGACACTGTAACACTTTCTGTCTGGCCAAAGCTGACTGATGGGAGGAAGAAGGAAAGGGAGGGTAAAGGAGGGGAGCACAATGTCACACTGACATCCACTAATGTGGAATATATGGTGTAGTATGAGTGTTGGGTATTAGCTGCTGTGCCACTTCTGTGGCCGCGGGTTTAGATGTGCACACCTGCAGGACGTGCCCTGAGTTTGGCATCACGTTCCTGCAGGTGAGTTCCATGCACACTACAACTTGTAATGTACAATTACAGATCACCACCTCTATTGCAAAGGGAATTGCTGTGAGACAATCCAGGTAAATCATTGAGGCACAAGGCTTTGATGCAGAAGATGCAAGAACACTTGCAGACTCCAGCAGAGCTGACAAGTCCAGACAGCAGAAAGATGGTCACTTTAAGTGCTGGTTAGATTAGTGCATCAAATGGGACATTGATCATGCTGTTGACCTTATCAGGGGACTTGGCAAGTACCTCATAGTGCATGTTTGTGACAGTGAGATCAATGTAGACACTGCAACAAAGTATCTTGCCACAATTGTTGATCCAATGCAATTTGCTCCAGGATCAAAGATTCCTCTATCAATGCACCCAGCAGTTATTAGTCTTTTGTGAGCAGGTGAAACACCTTGTCCCACACACCGCCAGAGACCTAGAGACAGAGTTGCAACACTACCAGCCAGTCCAAGATGCTCTTGCACTCATGAATTTGCACAAGGACCTCACACTGGCAGAGTTGCAGTCTGTCATCATTCTGAGCTGCATCATGCTCTTCTTCAGACAACCAGCAGATATTGCAGCTATACAAGATGAAGGAATGGAGGTCATGGCAGATCACATCCACTTCACTTTTGGACATCTGAAATGCCAAAAATTCATATGATTGCCATCCTGCCCCAGAACATTGATGTTGTCACAAT